TCCTCTTAGCAGTGGGTTGGTGCTGGACCTGTAGCACCAGCCCCCCCTCTCTACTGACAGGGGTTTGGTGCTGGACCTGTAGCTCCAGCTCCCCTCTACTGGCTGGGGGTTGGTGCTGGACCATTAACTCCAGCCCCCCCTCTACTGGCAGGGGGTTGATGCTGGACCTGTAGCTCCAGCCCCACCTCTACTGGCAGAGGGTTGGTACTGGACCTGTAGCTCTAGCCCCCCCCCCCAGTATTGGCAGGGGTTTGATGCTGGACCTGTAGCTCTAGCCCCCTCCCCAGTATTGGCAGGGGTTTGATGCTGGACCTGTAGCTCCAGCCCCCTTCCAATGGCATGGGGTTGGTGCTGGTCCTGTAGCTCCAGCCCTCCTCCAATGGCAGGGGGTTGGTGCTGGACCTGCTACTCCAGCCCCCCCCTTTACTGGCAGGGGATTGGTGCTGGACCAGTAGCTCCAGCCCCCCTCTACTGGCAGGGGGTTGTTGCTGGATCTGTAGTTCCAGCCCCTTCTCTATTGGCAGGGGGTTGGTGTTGGACCTGTAGCTGCAGCCTCTCCTCTACTGGCAGGGGTATTGGTGCTGAACCTATAGCCCCAGCCTCCCATCTGGTGGAAGGGGGTTGGTGCTGGACCTGTAGCTCGTGCCCCCCCCCAACCTCTACTGGCAAGGGATTGGTTCTGGACCTGTAGCTCCAACCCTCCCCTCTATTCAACCCGTTCTCGCAAATTCATAAAGTCAATATTGACTTATTAACTACGTGCATAGGTGACATACTAAACATAATAGATACCCTTAAAAAGCTTCATAGAAAACACCGACCTTACCTAACCTTGTTAGTATCTTAAGATAAGCATTCTATTGCTTCGTAATTACAATTATTACTTAACCTATACCTATAATAGGTTTAGTAACAGTTGTAATTACGAAGCTATAAGATGCTTTTCTTAAGATACTAACAAGGTTAGGTAAGGTCGGTGTTTTCTATGAAGCTTTTTAAGGGTATCTATTATGTTTAGTATGTCACCTATGCACTTATTTAATAAGTCAATATTGACTTTACGAATTTGCGAGAACGGGTTGCTCTATTGGCAGGGGAGTTGGTCCTGGACCTGTAGCTCCATCCCCCTTCTACTGGCAGAGGGTTGGTGCTAGAACTGTAGCTCCAGCCCCACTCTACGGGCAGGGGTTTGGTGCTGTACCTGTAGCTCCAGCCCCCTCTACTGGCAGTGGGTTGTTGCTGGACTTGTAGCTCAAGCCCCCTCTTTTGGCAGGGGGTAGATGCTGGACCTGTAGCTTCAGCCCCCCTCTACTGGCAAGGGATTGGTACTGGAGTTGTAGCTCCAACCGCCCCTCTACTGGCAAGGGGTAGGTGCTGGATTTGTAGCTCCAGCCCCCCTCTACTGGCAGGAGGTTGTTGCTGTACCTGTAGCTCCAGCCCCCTCTACGGGCAGGGGGTTGGTGCTGGACCTGTAGCTCCAGCCTCCCTCTACTGGCAAAGGTTGGTGATGGACTTGTAGCTCAAGCCCCCCTCTTTTGGCAGGGGGTTGGTGCTGGATTTGTAGCTCCAACCCCCCTCAACTGGCATGGGGTTGGTTCTAGAGCTGTAGCTCCAGCCCCCCTCTACTGGCAGGGGGTTGGTGCTAGAGCTGTAGCTCCAGCCCCCCTCTACTAGCTGGGGGTTGGTGCTGGACCTGTAGCTCCAGCCCCCTCCCTCTACTGGCAGGGGGGTTGGTGCTGGATTTATAGCTCCAGCCCCCTCTCTACTGTCAGGGGCTAGGTGCTGGATTTGTAGCTCCAGCCCTCCTCTACTGGCATGGGGTAGGTTCTGGACCTGTAGCTCCTGCCCGCCTCTACTGACAGGGGGTTGGTGCTGAACCAGTAGCTCCAGCCCCCCCTCTACTGTCAGAGGGTTGGTGCTAGACCTGTACCTTCAGCTTTCCTCTACTGGCAGGGGGGTTGGTCCTGGACCTGTAGCTCCAGCCCCCCCTCTACTGGCAGAGGGTTGGTGCTTGATTTGTAGCTCCAGCCCCCCTCTACTGGCAGAGGGTTGGTGCTGGACCTGTAGTTCCAGCCCCCCCCCCTCTAGTGGCAAGGGGTTCATGCTGGACCAGTAGCTCCTGCCCCCGCTACTGGCAGGGGGTTCATGCTGGACCAGTAGCTCCTGCCCCCCCCCTCTCTACAGGCAGAGGGTTGGTGCTTGATTTGTAACTCCAGCCCCCCCTCTACTGGCAGGGGGTAGGTGCTGGATTTGTAGCTCCAGCCCCCCTCTACTGGCATGGGGATTGGTGCTGGATCTTTAGCTCCAGCCTCACCCTACTGGCAGGTGGATTGGTGCTCGACCAGTAGCTCCAGCCCTTCTACTGTCAGGGGGTTGGTGCTGGATTTATAGCTCCAGCCTCCCCTCTACTGGCACGGGGTTGGTGCTGGATTTGTAGCTCCAGCCCCCCTCTACTGGCAGGGGGTAGGTGCTGGATTTGTAGCTCCAGCCTCCCTCTACTGGCAAACGTTGGTGCTGGACCTGTAGCTCCAGCCTCCCTCTACTGGCAAAGGTTGGTGCTGGACCTGTAGCTCCAGCCTCCCTCTACTGGCAAAGGTTGGTGCTGGACCTGTAGCTCCAGCCTCCCTCTACTGGCAAAGGTTGGTGCTGGACATGTAGCTCCAGCCCCCCTCTACTGGCAGGAGGTTGTTGCTGGATCTGTAGCTCCAGCACCCCTCTACTGGCAGGGGGTTGGTGCTGGACCTGTAGCTCCTGTCCCCCTCTACTGGTAGGGGTTGGTGAAGGACCAGTAACTCCAGCCCCCTCTACTGGCAGGGGGTTGGTGCTGGATTTATAGCTCCAGCCCCCTCTCTACTGGCACGGGGTTGGTGCTGGACTTGTAGCTCAAGCCCCCTTCTTTTGGCAGGGGGTTGGTGCTGGATTTATAGCTCCAGCCCCCTCTCTACTGGCACGGGGTTGGTGCTGGACTTGTAGCTCAAGCCCCCCTCAACTGGCATGGGGTTGGTGCTAGAGCTGTAGCTCCAGCCCCCCCTCTACTGGCAGGGGATTAGTATTGGACCTGTAGCTCCAGCCCCCCTCTACTAGCAGGGGGTTGGTACTGGACCTGTAGCTCCTGCCCGCCTCTACTGACAGGGGGTTGGTGCTGAACCAGTAACTCCAGCCCCCCTCTACTAGCATGGGTTGGTGTTATATCTGTAGCTCCAGCCTCCCTCTACTGGCAGTGGGTTGGTGCTGGACCTGTAGCTCCAGCCTCTCTCTACTGGCAGGGGGTTGGTGCTGGACCTGTAGCTCCAGCCCCTCTCTACTGGCAGGGGGTTGGTGCTGGACCTTAAGCTTCAGCTTTCCTCTACTGTCAGAGGATTGGTGCTAGACCTGTACCTTCAGCTTTCCTCTACTGGCAGGGGGGTTGGTCCTGGACCTGTAGCTCCAGCCCCCCTCTACTGGCAGAGGGTTGGTGCTTAACCTGTAGCTCCAGCTTTCCTCTACTGGCAGGGGGTTGGTGCTGGACCTCAAGCTCCAGCCCCCTCTACTGGCGGGGGATTGGTGCTGGACCTGTAGTTCCAGCCCCCCCCCCCTCTAGTGGCAAGGGGTTCATGCTGGACCAGTAGCTCCTGTCCCCGCTACTGGCAGGGGGTTGGTGCTGGACCAGTAGCTCCTGCTCCCGCTACTAGCAGAGGGTTGGTGCTTGATTTGTAACTCCAGCCCCCCCTCTACTGGCAGGGGGTTGGTGCTAGATTTGTAGCTCCAACCCCCCTCTACTGGCAGGGGGTTGGTGGTGGACTTCTAGCTCTAGCCCCACTATACTGGCAGGGGGTTGGTGCTGGACCTGTAGCTCCAGCCCCCCTCTACTGACAGGGCGTTGATGCTGGACCTGTAGCTCCAGCCCCCTTTACGGGCAGGGGGTTGGTGCTGGACCTGTAGCTCCAGCCTCCCTCTACTGGCAAAGGTTGGTGCTGGACCTGTAGCTCCAGCCCCCTCTACGGGCAGGGGTTTGGTGCTGGACATGTAGCTCCAGCCCCCTCTACTGGCAGGAGGTTGTTGCTGGACCTGTAGCTCCAGCACCCCTCTACTGGCAGGGGATTGGTGCTGGACCTTTAGCTCCAGTCCCCCTCTACTGGTAAGGGTTGGTGCAGGACCAGTAGCTCCAGCCCGCTCTACTGGCAGGGGGTTGGTGTTATATCTGTAGCTCCAGCCTCCCTCTACTGGCAGTGGGTTGGTGCTGGATCTGTAGGTGCAGCCCCACTCTACTCTCAGGGGGTTGATGATGGACCTATATCTCCAGCCCCCATCTACTGGCTGGGGGTTGGTGCTGGACCTGTAGGTCCAGTCCCCCTCTACTGGCAGGGGTTGGTGCTGGCCTTATAGCTCCAGCCCCCCTCTACTGGCCGGGGTTAGTGCTAGACCTGTAGCTCCAGCCCCTTCTCTACTGGCAGGGGTTGGTGCTAGACTTGTAGCTCCAGCCCCCCTCTACTGCCAGGGGGGTTGGTGTTGGACCTGTAGCTCCAGCCCCCCTCTACTGGCAAGGGGTTGGTGCTGGACCTGTAGCTCTAGCCCCCCTCTACTGGCAAAGGGTTGGTGCTGCCAATGTTTGGGAGTTTGTTGGCAGTTTCAAGGCTTCAGTCTCTTCGAACCCATCAGTGGTGTGTTTTGGTTCACTGTCCTCCTGGATGCTTTCCCGGTAGGTTGGTGGAGTGTCACCCGCTCTCCGTGCCTCTGTGAGGGGGGGCCAGGATCCCGGGTTTAATAGAGGATCACGGGTTCAATCACCATGCAGGCCAGAAATGGATCCCATGTTTCCTTTCATCTGGTGGGCCTGTTCACCTACCAGAATATATTTATCCAGGAGTTAGACAACTATTTAAGATTGTATGTTAATGAAAGTCAGTAGTTGACCTTGGGAAACTCCAATAAACCTAAGAACAGGCTTTCTCCTCAAAACGCAACTCAATATCTTGTGATATGACCTATGAGAGAAAATAAAAAACTTACTGTTAATTGCTTCTGGTGGATCTGTCCAGTGATTTGCTAAACTTTATTCATGATGCTGGAGGCTGAGTCTCCCAGGTGTACGGGGTCAGCTGTGGCACCTGTTTCTGTAGTCATCACCTCCAGGGCCTCCCTGATGGTCTCCTGCACCTGTCATTACCAACACAAACATTAATGGTGGAGGCTGAGTCTCCCAGGTGTACGGGGTCAGCTGTGGCACTTGTCTCTGTGGTCATCATCTCCAGGGCCTCCCTGATGGTCTCCTGCACCTGTCATTACCAACACAAACATTAATGGTGGAGGCTGAGTGTCCCAGGTGTACGGGGTCAGCTGTGGCACCTGTCTCTGTGGTCGTCATCTCCAGGGCCTCCCTGATGGTCTCCTGCACCTGTCATTACCAACACAAACATTAATGCTGGAGGCTGAGTCTCCCAGGTGTACGGGGTCAGCTGTGGCACCTGTCTCTGTGGTCGTCATCTCCAGGGCCTCCCTGATGGTCTCCTGCACCTGTCATTACCAACACAAACATTAATGGTGGAACCTGGACTAAAATGAAGCATCAGGCTCTGAGTAAAGTAATTGGACTATAATGAAGCATCAGGCTCTGAGTAAAGTAACTGGACTATAATGAAGCATCAGAATGAGTAAAGTAATTTGACAACATAAGTAACTTTGTTTCTCTACACTGACCACAGTGTAGAGAAACACCAAGATGACAGTTGACTTTATTATTAATAAAAATGTTTAGGTGTTAGAGCAAAAAGTTTCCTATATATAAAGTCTACTCTCATCTTGATGTGTCTCCATGTCAAAAGTGTTTATATAGAGGCCATACTACACTCAGTTGGGTTAGAACAATGTGACCTTCAGCAGCATACCTTCACTGAGGTGTGGACAGTCTTGACATCTGGGAAGAGTTCCTGGCACTTCTTGAGCCAATCTTCTACCTTCATGCTGCACTCATCAGCTGTGCCTATGGTTGTGTAAACTTCCTGTGGGGTGTTGCCTGTGTCGAGGTTCCCCACCATGGCCTTCAGCTGAGTCTTCCCTTCCTCTCCTTGTGTTGTCATATCCACCACACTGGTATCCTCCAGTTCCAAGAGCTTCATTGCTGACTTGTTCTGCTCTACCAGAGCATAGAGTCTGTCATGGAGCTGGAGGTGGCAAGTCTTCCAGTCCCCCAATTGGCCCCGATACTCCCCCAGCTGGGACAGTACCTCTTCACAGCTAGTAATGAGGCTGCTGATGCTGCTCTTCTGCTCCTGCACCAGGGAATGTAACTTCTTTTTTACTGGTACAGTTTTCTTTTGTGTTAGCTGGATATCTTTCAGTTTCCTAACAAAAGCCTCCACAGCGTAGCTAATTGGGAACTGAGTAGCAGCTGTGGCAGCGTGCTGGGCACGGCAGTTGGGGCAGGACAGTTGACCATTCTCGATAGCATTGTCAATACACTGGGAGCAGAATGTGTGGCCGCACGGCAGTGTGCGAGGCCGTAGCTGATTGTCGTCATAATCGTTATAACACACTGAACATTCCTCTGGCTTGTTATCCTGTGGAAAGAATATTTGGTTAAGCTATATGTATTATTACAGTACAGTGTCACCTCGAAAAAAAGTAATATTACAGTACAGGTACTTTATTTACTAATAGTAATTATATAATATTTACAGACATTTTTTGTATTAGCTATTCTAGAGCAGAGTTAATATTACTGACAGATTAACATATCCACAGAAGGGCCAATATTTTTTATAAATATATCCCGATGTATAGGATAATATTTTTAGGTAACATATTGCAGTAAGGCTGCTTGTAAGCCGTACCCGAGAGTACAGACTAACAAAACCCGTCCTTACTTTCTTATGAATAATGGAAGGAAATGTATGTATCGTATGTGATAATGGAGGAAAGATCAAGTATTCTTAGTTTAAGTTGGTCTTAGTCCCTCGAAAGGGAAGACAACGAAGGGAGCGCAAGTCCCTCAAGATGCTCACAAAGTAATGAGAGTACTTAAGCGAATTTTCATTGTGGGAGATTCCCAGGTGAGGTATTTGGCTAAAACGTTTTGTCCCAGGGATAGGGGGAACAAGTTAAGGGTTTGCTATTCGGGAGCAGGAATTGGTGATATTGTTAACAACTTGAATGATGTTATAACTAAAATGGGAACAAACCCATTACAATGGGGCCTTGACTTACGATGCTAATCTGTGCCCAGAGACGTAACTCAAATGTAACTCAAAATATCGTAAGTCGAAGCGATTTTTCCCATAAGAAATAAAGGGATTTGAATTAATCCGTTCCCCACCCTCCAAAATATTAACATACAAATACATTTTATACTGAATACAATTTTTTTTTCTAACTACAATACAGTACCTAAGTTGATCTTACCTTTATGGAGGGCTCTTGATGGCGTATGGACGATGGTGATAAGTTGGGAGTAGAGTTGCTACTGTTCGGAAGGGGAGTTCCCTTCCATTATCACATCAGGTAGTGATGTTTTCTCTGGGGTACTCTCTCTCCTACGTTTTCCCTGAACACCACTAGGACCTGGTTGTGGTTCAGTGCTTGTTTGTCTCACTACAAATTTGTCAAGAGACATTTTTTCCCTTCAGTTTAACATTTGTCTGTAATGATGCATCACAGTGTCATTGAATAGGTTAAGGCAACGGCCTACAGCAGCTTGATTTGGATGAGTCGTTTCAGCAAAGGTTTGCAATTCTTCCCATGCTGCACACATTTTCTTAATTGTTGAGGAAGAGACATTCTGTACTCTTGTTTCTGCTCTATGGCAACCTTACATGGGTTTTCATATGTTGAGCCTTACCACTGACTTTCCTGGGACTCATGGCGTGATATATAATACAGGTATGTGTGAAATGGACTACTTTACTGCATAATTTGATGAGCCGCTCATGAAGCATATTGTTCAGGAAACGAACAAATATACGACTGATCTCAATGGTGAGGAGTTATCCGATTTTTCACAATTACAGCGATGGAAAGATACGACTTTAGGTGAAATGTATGTGTATGTTGATGAAGCATTGTGTAAAACATGTACTCGACCATTATTGGAGCAAAGACCAAACTATTCCAACACCATTGTTTGGGAAATATATGTCTCGAGACCGATTTGCGATAATCCTCAGGTGTCTTCATTTTGCAAATAATGAAGACCAGACTGAAGATGATAGACTTCGGAAGGTGAGGCACATCCTGAATGAACTTGTTTGAAAGTCAGAGATTTCTACGTACCAGCTCAGAAGCTGGCGACTGATGATTCCCCTGTGCTTTTCAAAGGACGGTCTGCCTTCAAGCAGTATATTCCCTCAAAACGCCTCAGATTTGGATTTAAATTCTGTGTACTCTGTGACTGTGAAACAGGAACTGTGTTACACATGATAATGTATACGGCTACAAGTGTAGGCATTCCTGCTAATAACAATCATGGCTTCTCGGGTAGTGTGGTGAAGTCACTGCTTGCACCATATCTGATCAAGGGCCACATATTATACACAGACAACTATTATACCAGTCCCTTGCTAACCAGGTTCTTGCTTGATAATAGAACTGGTGTGTGTGGCACAGTGAAGGCAAAACAAAGGAAAATGCCAGTGTTTCACACTGCTATGCAAGTTGGTGATTGTGAGCTAAGAAAAACTGGTGCAATGCTTTCAGTGCAGTGGAAAGACAGGCATGAAGTGAACATGTTGACCACCGTTTACGATGGTACAATGGTGGACAGTGGCAAGGTGAACAGAACAACAAAACAAATAATCTATAAGCCTGATTGTGTTTTGGACTATAACATCAACATGCGTTTGGTGGATAAATGTGATATGATGGTAGGGGCAGTAGTGTGTACAGAAAACAGTGAAGTGAACCAAGAAGATGTTTTTCCACCTTGTTGATGTAATAATGCTGAACAGTTACAATACGTATTTTGTCAAAACAGATGGTAAATGAAATTTGTGTGTGTGTTCAGTTTTACTGTAGAGACACAATTACTAGAAAAGTTTGTCAAACCAATTCCTGGCATACAAAGGCCCCATTGTGAACCCAACATTGCACCATGCTCCCACACCCAGGCTCGCTTACAAGGACGCCTTTCTGACACACAATGTAAGGTATTTACCACCAACTGGAAAGCGTGCAGTAGCCCAGCGTGAGTGCATTGTATGAAAGACAACAAAAAAGAGGGAACAAAAATGTAAAATTGGTCTTAACTTGGTGCACAGCATGAAAGGTCCCATTGTGCTATGACAAATGTTTTGACGAGTATCACAGTCTCGAGGACTTCTAAATGTCCAATACTGGTATAAAAACATCTACATATTGAGTAAGTGTAAATAGTGAAAACAATTCATAATAAATTTCATATTTCCTGAAATATAAAACATTTTTTTACACATGTGACAAAATAATAAATTTATACCAGTTGTATTATAATAAAACATCAAGTGACCACACATTGTACCACATCCGTGAAAAAATGTTGTAAAATTTGCAGTCTCCGTGGTGTAGTGGTAAGACACTCGCCTGGCGTTCCGCGAGCGCTATGTCATGGGTTCGTATCCTGGCCGGGGAGGATTTACTGGGCGCAATTCCTTAACTGTAGCCTCTGTTTAACGCAACAGTAAAATGTGTACTTGGATGAAAAAACGATTCTTCGCGGCAGGGGATCGTATTCCAGGGACCATAGGATTAAGGACTTGCCCGAAACGCTACGCGTACTAGTGGCTGTACAAGAATGTAACAACTCTTGTATATATCTCAAAAAAAAAAAAAAAAAAAAAAAAAATATGCCATAGATACTGCAAATAATGCCGCTGTTATGACCCTGGATTCCCATTCAGAAACCAGAGGTCAAATTAAGTTACAAATAGTTGTGTAAGAGGGATATTTCATTAACAATAATGTTTATATTCAAGGCTTCTCATACCTGATGCGTATTTGTCTCAGTCTTCCTTGCCAGACGTAAGATGAACCTTGTTACTCACAGATTATTCAGACTGGGCTTGTTGACTATTAAATATAATATTGAACTAGTTCCCAGCTATTCTTAGAACTGTTAAAGTAACTAGTAATGAATGTTGGTGAGGGCTTGTTATGTTTATGGCTGTACGATCAGCTAGGCACCCTTTCCAGCAGCATATTTAAGAGAGCGGAGGAGGCTGCTCTCGCTCTCTCTGGTTCTGGCTGTTGTGGTGTTCACACTCTCCCGCGTGGGCTCTGTTCTCCTCCTTCTCCCTTTCCCTTACCTCATTCTACATTTATTATCTAAGATAAGTATAATACTGTGTTACCGTGTTCTGGCAAATTGTGTAGTTAAGTTCTTGTGTAGCCTAAGCTAGTGTTTATTTCCCTAAGATTACTCTAGGGTGTTTTAGTAAAACCACGTGTGCTCAAGTTTTACCAGGTTATCTAGAGCCTTTACTAGTGTCCTCCTCCAAGTAGTCTTTACCCTAGTTGTAATTGTAAACTCTGCATCCTGTCTATGTGGACCAAGGTGTTTAACGTAAGGTAGAGTGGTAAAGAAATTTATTGTATTAATGGATATGGGGGTTATTAGAGGGTTTTAATAAACAAGTTAGATTATGAGAAGTATTAATTCATCCTGTTGAAGTGGTGTAGATGATTAGCTACTAGACAGCAAACCTGTAATTTAAAACATAGAATCATTACTAGGAACCTTTATTCCTTGGGGGGCCGGGCCTATCTATCCCACTATTTTAGATACATCTTGACTAACTACTGGCTCTACTCAGTACAACCATGTACCCCATAACAAGTGGGGGCCTGTCCGGGAGCTGAAATTTTTATATATAAATTGTAAAAAAATTAGATTTTTGAGTGCCGAAACTAAATTTCTTGCATTCCGCAGAACGATTATGTTGTAGCTTAGGGTCCAGCTCAACTAGCAAAGGATACATCTTGCACTGACTGAACATCCAACTGGATCCCTTCACAATTGAGGTAAGTGCGAGGTGTGTGCCCGCCGATGGAAGAGTGGACCCAGTTAGCTGACCGTGTTGCTAGAGATGGAGCAAGAGGAGTGTTACTGCCATCGGACAATTCTACCTATATTATTTCCTTATGCAAGTGTATATATTTTCTTCAGTAAACTGTTTATCTTACCAATGTGTTTGAGTGAGCCTCCCTTCTCTAGGGCTATTTTGAGTGAAACCATTTATGTCACCTTGCACTGCACATGAGATTGCATCCTTGATTTAAGATAACTAATGAGACCACTGAAGTGTTGCCGGGACACGAGTATAAACACCCAGCTGGTGACCTCGAGCAGACCAGATATCTAAGAGAGTGTGTCCCAGTGTCAAGACGGGCAGGTTCAGGTGTGATACAGGTAGACTTGAACCTCTCTATTCGCTAGGGGTATATATATAAGGCCAGCCCTTAGTGGACTGGGTTTAGCCCCAGGGCGAGCAGTTGCGTCTGGTACGGAGGGGCAAAGACCCATGGGAACAGCCCCAAACCATATAAGGTAGGAATGGGTGAGAACCTTGACACCTTCCCAATCATGTCAAAGACTGTACCTCTCTCAACCAGTTTAAGATAAAAACTAAAAACTACCTAATAAACTCCATGTAACATACCTTACCCCTAAATGTCAACCCATGTCTTATTATTGTAATCAATGCTTTTTGTTGACCAACTTGTATAATTGCTTTTCTCTGCCTTGTTCCCCCCTCCCCTTTTTTTTATTTTTTTCAATGCAATTTATACTTTAAGCTCAATTACTATTAAGATTTAGTTTAAGTGTTTTTTCCCCCTTCACCTTGCCCGAAACGCTATGAGTACTAGTGGCTTTAAGTATTGTATGTACTATCTCTATCTTTAAATCCATCATTATGTATGTAACTCAACGGATGTACCTTTACCTGAATAAAGAATCTGAATCTGATGGTGAGTGTATTATTGACATCAACATGATAGCCCACACATACTAATAGTATAACAAGAATAAAATTGTCTTTACCATCATTAATGGGTAGAAGTTGTGTTTGCTATCGTCCTTGGTAGCCGAGCAGAGACTTGAAGCAGTATTACCTTTTAGGGGAAAAAGAAAACAAATTTAAGGTTTCTATGACTAAATTTTTCCCACCAAAACATAGTAAACGTTTAGAACATTAAATAAAAAACCAGCGTTGAATGTAACGAAACGCCATTTTCTGGGTGAGTCCTGGAGGCTCCCTGGAGCTTTCCCAGGCTGATATACTAATGTCAGACTTTGGCATCAGTTATGTGTATGGAGTTCTTAGGCCTACCGGGGACCACAGCCAGAACCGGGCCCCACTCAGAGAAGCAAGGAGAGCAATGGCCTATAGAAACCCCCGTATGGTTGGAAGCATTCTATGTCTGCCATCGACCGGAACAGGCACCCAGAAAGGTAAGCGCCTCAAAACAAACCCCTGTTCTGATGAAAATTGCTACCAAAAGCCGAACTAGTGGATAGAACTCCCCAACAGAAAACAAGCAAACTAGTGTGACGTCACACGTCGCCGCATCACTGTCTGCGCAGCTCCCCCCTCCCCGGGAGGGGGAAGGGGGAGCCCCAGACCCTCCACGCCAACTACCCACACCTCAGTTCTTGAGGCTGGATATCAAAAACGCGAAAAAAAAAACGCCGACCGGAGGGAGGGAGGGATGCCGGGGAGCCTCCGGGACTCACCCAGAAAATGACGTTTCATTACATTCAACGCTGGTTTTCTGGGGGGAGCCCCATCGGCTAACCGGAGCTAATTACCCACAGACGGAAAAAGAGGGACTTACCCGGGAGGCGGTCGTCGCTCACCCCTCAATTCGAAGTCGAGACAACTGGTTGCAACCGCTGACCCAAAGCAACACAGGCCCGACGGGGCCCAGGGACATTCACGAGGTAACGAGCAGCCAGGACCCTCTTCGACCGCCAAAAACCCCACGCCCAAATATCAGACCAAGACATATTCCCAAAGACGGCAGCAAGAGCCGCGAACTTACGGACGTCATGGGCACGGGGATAGACCGCAGGCTGGCTGGACTTGATAACCCTGCGGACGACCTGGGAAACCCGAACCCGCGAACAGGGAAGAAAGGAAACTGGATCAACCCAAAGCGAGTCCCCGGACACAGAAGCCGTGGCACGCAAATAACGGTGAAGCGCCGCAACCGGACACAAAACATGATGCGCCCCCGGCTGGATCACCCACGGACCCCTCCGGAACGCAGCAGTCTCATTCTTCGCCAGAAAAGGAGACGCCTGCAAGTGAACAAAACAATCACCACGACCAAAAGAGCAGAAACCCCTGCGCCGGAGAAGAGCTTGAAGCTCCAATACCCGACCCCCAGAGGCTAATGCCAACAAGAAAAGAGCCTTGGAGAAACAATCCCGGACCGAAGGGGCCACAACGAAACGAGGAGACAAAAGGTAAGCGAGCACTCTGTCCAAAGACCAGGAAGGCTCAAGCGGCACATGAACAGGCTGGAGGTGAAACAAGGCACGAGACAGCTTGCAAAACGGCGCAGATATAACATCGATACTGAAGGCAAGCTGAAGTGGCCTTGCCAGTGCCGCACGATATGAGGTGACAGTGTTAGGCATAAGATGACGGTCCTGAAACAACCAAGAGAGAAAGGACAAGACCACCCTAACAGACAACGAACTAACACGATGAAGACGCGAAAAGAAACAGAAGGACCGCCAGGAAACTTCATACTGACGCCGAGAAGAAGCCCTCAGGTGGGACACCAACAAAGAGGCCTCGTGATCACCATAGAGATGATGATAGACTCGAGTCAAAAAACCCATACGCGAAGACTCAAGGAGAAGATCGAACCAGCCATGTGACGTACCGGCCCGATCTGCTGAAAGAGGCGGAGTCGCAGAAAAACCCTCGGGTTTGGACACCGAGCAAGCAGCGCCTGAAACCAAGGCTGGGCCGGCCACCAAGGGGTCAGAAGGACAACACTCCCCTGATAAGTCTCCAAGCGAGTCAGGACCTGGAGTAACAGCCGAACCGAGGAAAAGAGGTACAGGAACCCCCACCTCGACCAGTCTAGCCGAAAGGCATTGACCCCGACGGCCTTCCGACCCCTTCCGCGATTGGGGAAGGGCGCCACATACACGGGAAAACGCCGCGACCACGCCGACGCAAAGAGGGCCACCTCGGGGCACCCAAACGTCTGGCAAAGCCAGACCCACCAGAAACAGACGAAGGTGGGACTGCAGCCGCAGGAGAGAGTCCAGAGGGAGAGACAAGGAGGCGGTCCGAGAGTCCCAAACAAGACCCAGCCAAGTCCGAACCTGAGAGGGGACCAGATGGGACTTCCTCCAGTTCACCAAGAACTCGAACCCGGTGAGCTGGGATAGAACCAAACCCCTGACTAGCAAGCAAGCTGACCGGCTGGGAGCCCAAACCAGCCAGTCGTCGAGGTAGGACAACACCCGAACACTTAGGAGACGCAAACGGGCTACCACGACCTGCATAAGGCGCGTGAACACGCGCGGTGCCAGGTTCAACCCGAATGGGAGACAACAAAAGTGGTAACTCAGACGCCCCACAACAAAACCGAGCCAGTCCCTGAACCGCGGATGAATCGGGACATGCCAATAAGCATTCCCGAGGTCCAAGAACACCATCCAAGTGCCCGGCTCCAGGAGAAGCCAAACCTGACACAGCGTAGTCATCCAAAAGGAGGGGCAATGAACCCAGGGGTTCAGATGGGACAAGTCTAGAATGAACCGCAGGTCCGCGCAGTCCCATTTCGGGACCAGAAACCGACGGGAAACACATCTGAGGGATGACGTCGTTTCGACAACACCCAAGTGAACCCACTCCAAGATGACCTGACAGAGCGCAGGTGAAAAAACCTGCCCTGCCAGCCCCGACCCCCCCCCAAGGGGGGGGGGGGGCCACCCAACGCCACCGCAGGCCGACAGACACGACCCGAAATGTCCACGAATCTTGGGACCTGGCCTGGGCGAACAGCACAAGCTGCCACCCCCATCACTCCGTCAATGGGGCAAACGGCAAAAGGGCCGGCGCCCCTTACGAGACCCAGAACCCCGCACAGAGCGAACACCGCACCGACCAGACGAGGGTGGGTCCGAAGCAGGAGCCGAACCCGAACCTGACACCAGTGACCTACCACAACGAGAGGAACCCCGAGCCCTGGCACGACCCTTCCGGGAAGACCCACGCCGGGACCCCCGGAAAACCAACAAGTACGACATCGGACAACAAGCCGACGACGCAGCCTGAATAAACTGCGCCACGGCCGACTCCTCAAACAGAAGAGGACAAAAAGGTGAAGACCACCTAAGAGCCAGAGCCCAAGCAGATTCCACGGAGGAACCCACTACCGCCTGCCGACACCCTTTAACAGGAAGCATAAAACAGGGAAACCGTATCCAGCAAAATTGGCGTTTAAAGCTTCAACAAGGCAGCGGACGAACGCGCTGCCGAGGACAAGGCGCCGGACCCTGGGATGGACCCAAGCGTCCTCACATCCTCCACGAACCAATCCGAGGACAGCTCCAGGAGGAAAAAGAACTATAAGGCTGAAGCCAAAAGGCCCCAGGCGCGCAAGTCCTCCGCTATGAGCGCAGCCAAAAGGGCGGGAACCTGCACATGAAGCTGAACAACGCCCACATCGCGGGGAAGGGCAGGGGGCAAACAAACATTCATTCAGGTACTCAAGATCGCCCCCCAGGAAAACTTGATGCACCGTGGAAGCTTCCCGCCACTCCAGCGTGCGGGAACAACATAAGGAATGCCAGAAATCCAGAACAAACAAGGGGGAAGTCCGCTAGCCAGGAAGACTCCAGAACCTCGTAACAGAGCCAGAAAGGGAACGAAGTCCCAAACCTGAACTCGAACGGATCCATTTCCGAGGCATAATCCGAGTCACGCAGGAGGTAAGCTGCAAGGGCCACTCGCACCACACCAGGTTGGATGTGATAAGCCGAAAACCTCCAGAAAGACGGAACCGACATACCCGGGGAAACACAGAACCGAACCCAGGGAGGGGCCGACACCAAATCCAACTCGTACACAGAGGGGGGAAAAGAAAGCCCCACACCTTGTAACAATAAGCCCCGCTCAGAGGGAAGAAAAACCCAGGCGGGGTCCAGCGGGGCCCAAGGCCCCTAAGTCAGCCCCTCCCCAGCCTCGAGGTCCTTCACCACAGGATCCGGGGCCGAGTCCTCTCCCCAAGCCCCGACCCCACAAAACAAGGACGGAGCAGCCATAAAAGCCGAAAGAAAGGGGGCCCACTGGTCAGACCCAGAAGCTTCGGCCGGGAGACAAGACTCGAATGCCACTTTTGCCCCCCCCCGGAAGGGGCACCCACAAAGCTGCCCGAGTCTCGAGATCAAGTAACCCCTGCTCCGACTCCAAAACCTTCAGACGTTTCGGGGCCGGAAGCAGGGTAGAGGGGGACCAGAACGAGCAGAAGGGGAAGGACGAGGAGGTGCGGAATGAACCAGGATCAAAGCGACCCTCACCCCAAGTCCGGGTCTCGAAAAGCAAAGCAGGGCGGCCCCGGGGCATCCGGATGAGCAACCAACCGAGCCCGTTGCAACAGAAGAAACCTAGCTTGCAATGCACGCGCCGCCTGTACCCAAATAGAATCATCAGAGGATTGGGTAAATTGAGTCACAAGCAAGTAGCAACACTCACAGGACTCAGGGTCGAAAGTATCACCGACCCAACAGGCAGCGTGGCAGAGGCCAAAACAATGAGGGTCACCCTGAGACAAGGGGACTGAGCAACCATCAAACTCGCACACATCGAGAGGGACTCCAGGGTCACATCCATCGGACCCACGCGCCCCCTAGGGGATTCCCAGGGTCCCGAGAGTTTACTTTAAGAGGACTCGCGCTCAGGTAGTCCCAGGCAGAGCGCTGCTAACCGGCACACAAAACTACTAAGCGAACTTCTATAGCTGTACCCCAGGGGCATGTACACTCACGGGGACCTAGCAGGGGGCGCCACCGAGGAGAACCGTGGAAGGGCAAACACCAGTGTTTGCACCAAACACCAAACTAAAAGAAAAACAAAACCCTGCAG